CTGGATGGGTGGGGCTAGTATTTGCCAAAATAAGACTCATTTTGACAACTGACCCACTCTTCTAAGAAAAGCAACTAGCCCCACCCACCCTTTGTTTACTTAGAAGAGTAGGTCATCTGTCAAAATCAGTGTTATCTCGGCAAGTATGAGATTGATTTTTGCAAATGACATATTCTCTCGGTGGGCGGGGCTAGTACTTGCTAAAACTAAAAAATTTACAAATCAAAAAATGACGATTGGAAAAATCGGATAAATGAGAAATTGTAAAATTGTAAAACTGTATAATCCGAAAATAAAGTTTTAACTACAGAATTAAAAATCAAAAAATTCCAAAATTGTAAATTTATAACTTGAAAAATCAAAAAATTGGAATTAAAAACTGCAAAATTGTCAAATTATCAAAAGAAATATTCAAAAGTTGAAAAATCCAAAAATTAAAAAAAAAATGAAAACTGGAATTTCGAGTTCGATTTTATAAGATTAAAATAAGACTCATTTTGATAAATGACCTACTCTTCTAAGAAAAGGTACTAGCCCCACCCGCCCACCCTTATTTTCTTAGTAGAGATCATCTGCCAAAATCAGTGTTATCTTGTCAAGATTTTGGCAGATGACATATCCTCTGTGAAAATACAGGGTGGGTGGGCGGGGTTAATATTTGTTAAGATAAGACTGATTTTGGCAATTGACATATCCTCTAAGAAAATAAAGGGCAGCTTTGCTAAAATCAGTTTTATCGTAGCAGGTACTAGCACCACCCACCCACCCACCCTCTGTTTTCATAGAAGGTATGTCATCTGCCAAAATCCGTTTTATCTTATCAGGTACTAGCCCCACCCACCCACCCTCTCTTTTTTGTGTTTCGAGTGTTAGACCGATTTTGCTAAATGACATATCCTCTAAAAAAGAGAGGGGGTGGGTGGCACAAGTACTTGCTAAAAATAAAAAATTTAAAAATCAAAAAATGCCAATTTGAAAAATCGGATAAATGAGAAATCGGAAAATTGTACAAAAAATAGAAAGTTTTTTTCAGTTGCCCGGAGAATTCAAAAAATCGAAAGACATCAAAAAATTGAAAATTTAACAGACAAGAAATTGAAAATTTTCCGTGGGCTTATAAACCTGCTGTTGACGTTGAAATTCCCGGTGGAGTTGTTATTTCCGCTAATGTTACTTTTAGAGCTGCAAATTGTCATTTATAAAAAAAGTGGTGGATTTAAGTTCATTACTACAAAAATTTACCATTTTAGATCTGTTTTACGTTTCTTGTTGTCGAAATAAGTCTACACATATAAAGAACAAAAGGAAAAACGTAGCCCCGCCCACCCACCCTGTCTCAATTGTGATGATTTTTTTTATTCGTCGTGAGCCAAGAAGGCGGAGCTTAACTGCAAAATCCTTACTTCTCTACGAGAAATTAAAAACATGTTTTTCAGTATCGTGTAAGAATACTACGTATATTAAGAAAAAAATTTTGTCACAGATTATGTTCCACCCTTACCCGCTCCGATCTCAATTCTCAATTGTGATGAATTTTTCATTCGTTGTCAGATAAAGAGGCGGGGCTTAATTGTCTACAAGAATTTACCATTTTAAACATGTTTTAAGTTTCTTGTTCTGAAAACACGACTATACGTATATTAAGAAAAAAGGCAAAATATAAGCCCCGCCCACCCACCCTCTCTCAATTGTGATGATTTCCTTTTAATCGTCGCGAGCCAAACGAGCGGAATTTAATTGTAAAATCCATATTTCCTTACAAAAATTTACTACATATTGTAAACCTGTTCTAAGTTTCTAAGAATAAAAAAAAAATCATCACAAATGAGATGGGGTGGGTGGGTGGGGTTTATATTTTGCCTTTTTTTTCTAAATATATATAATATTCTTTGAACAACACGATACACAAAAATATGTTTTTAATTTTTTGTGAAGAAATAAGTATTTTGCAGTTAGTTCCGCCCTCTTGATTCACGGCGAATAAAAAAATCATCACAATGGGGATAGGGCGGGTGGGCGGGCTTACATTTTGCCTTCTTGTTTTAATATGTGTAGACTTCTTTTCACATCAGGAAACTTAAAACACGTTTAAAATGGAAAATTCGTATAAGGAAATATCGATTTTGCAATTAGGCTCCGCCCCATCATTGTAAAATCCATATTTTCTTGCAAAAATGTACCATGTTCTAAGTTTCTTGTTGAGAAAAGATGGCTATGTATATTAAGACAAAAAGGCAAAATATGAGCCCCACCCACCCGCCCTATCTCAATTCTGATGATTTTTTTTTATTCGTCGTAAGCTGAGGGGTGGAGCTTAATTGCAAAATCCTGATTTTTTCTACGAGAAATTACCATGTGAAATATGTTCTTAAGTAATCGTGTTATGCATGGAAAATCGATATTACAAATTTATGTATCATTTTATACATGTTTTAAGTTTCGTGTTGTGAAAAGATGACTACACATATTAAGAAAAAAGGTAAAATGTATACGGTATTTTATATGGTATTATATTCAAATTTTGGCGCCAACATTTTTCATTTTTAGCTTTATGGTAAACGTCATCTGGTGATTTACTAATTAGTAGAAAGAATAAAAGAAAAACACTTCACGAAGAATTTATTATAAAAAAAAAACAAACAATAAACTATGTAAATATGAAAATAAAACATTTTTCTCAATTAAAAAAAAATTAACAAAAGTAGAGACTATTGTTTTATTGATCTTCATCAACTACGTGATGTTATCTTCGGCAATGTCGACATCATTATCTACATCGTCTTGCAATTTGAGGATATTCTCATTGTCATCCTCATAATCATAAATATTATTTTGCAATGATAAATTGCTTTTAATGTACTTTTGTTACTATAGAACCATGTATCTATTACTTAGGAATTGGTAAAAGACATATGGTTAGGTTAGAACATAGAAAAGATCAAAAGGCGATTTTTTTTCTCCATCAGAAAGTAGATATAGATAAATGTAACTGAATGTATTCAAAAGGAGAATCAGAGGGGAGAAATGTAAACTTTCGATTGGCTAGAAATTTTACTAGAATATGGCGTAAACCATGTTTTGAAACCATATTTAGATCAAATACCGGCTGATTACACTATGTAACAAAATTATAGAAAAATAATATTTATCTGACTTTTTTTGTGGTTTTGGGTGTAATTTAGTCTATACTAAGAGAATATGAATTTGGTTCGTACAGAGAATCCCTAATATAAAAAATATTTAACTATTTGTTGTTTAGTGAAAAATGTCAAAATTTTAATTAAAATAAAACGAAAGCAGTTTAATTCATTGGAAATACTACAAAGAAGAAAAAAGGCATACATTATTTACAAATAAAAATAAAAATAAACCTTCGCGTGGCCCTGGGTCTTGGGAGGGCCGCCACGTTAATTAAATTATAAAATATATTTACCGTACAAAAATATATAACAACCAGTAAGATGGTTACTTGGTTCTCTTAAAAAACGGGAAATGGCAAATGCTACAGACTTAGGTAAGGTTTCCTCGAAACCATGCTTCCAAACTTGACCGGCAACTTCCACAGTAAACAAGATGAACCCATGGTTTATCCTGGTTCTTAATAGTTCCTCAAAGTACGCTTCATATGCTACCCAGAACTTTGTCGTAGGAACTATTTTATGTTTCACTTAGTCAACAGTTTTGTAATAACCGCAAATATAACAAAAATAAGTTGCAGATAATTTACACCTGCGTGTGGCTACGATTTTCGAATTTAAACGCAAAATACATACATACATTTTTTTTTCTTTTACAAAAAAAAATTAAATAAATGAAAATAGGGACAGTTCGACCAAACGAACTACAGCATGTCAAAAGTTACATCAGGATACAACTATAAATGTGAAAAAAGCAAGATAATAATTTTTTTGTTACACAGTGTTATTAATGAAACAAATTTTTGGGTTGGCAATTAAGAATTGTCAACCATGAACAACTGAATTGGTGCCCAAATTTCAATTTAATACCAGATGTGCCATTATAAAATTTTAAATATGTTGCCAATTTGACAAAAAAATCACAAACATTAATAGCTACTCAGTATAACTTCGTTCACAATTTCGTTTTCGTCGTCGCCTCGTCGCTTTATTTGATTTAGTAACGATATATCTAAAGTTTTGGATGTTTTTACTTAAATTATTACATTATCCACCTTTCATATTCATATCTTCTCACGCGAGATTTATAATAATCCATTTAAATTAGTGTTAAACATCGATCCATTTTGAGAAAAAGAACCTTGAAAATTATCATCAGTTAAATTAATATGATAGTGAACTCGAAAACGGGAGGGTTTAATATTTTGTTATAGCTTTAATCATCATCATCTTCAGGTTTTTTTATTGATAGTAAACTGGATGGACTTTTGGTTTTTGGAATAAATTATTATAACGTTGCAATGCCAAAAATAAAACTGAATCGACATTATAGACTGACAGCAGTTAAATAGACGAAGCATTTGAAGAGATTCTGATTAAAGTGTTCGTTGGATTTTATATTTATTTTGGAATATTTTTATTTTTTTTTTAGTTTGACCAAGAGTTTTTGCTTTATTTCTTTGTCAACATACTCTCTTAAAAATATAAAGTACCCATTACAACTACTATTTAACTAAAATTATAGAATTTATTTATTTAATTTACTTTAAAACCGATTACCAAAACAACAAATTACAAATATTATTGTTGAACAAACAAGTAATGTCATTTTCAAATCAGTGATGCCAACGATATGGCGCATATCACAATCCACTGCAACTCAAAAGGTTTTCGTTTTGTGCAATATCATTTCTGGATAATGACTTGAATATCGTAAAAAGCTGGGTAAATAGTAATTAAAAAGTAATTATAATGTTTTAGCTTTGCATAAACAAGTCAGGATTTGGAGTTTTCAATAATCTTAGTATCTTCATTTGAATTTGGTGCGCTTCCATGGCACCAACCAAACGATGCACCAGCCGAAATTCCCTAGATTGGGGAAAGTAACGAAGCTGTCAAGTTTTTGTTTGGTGCTGATGTATGTTATTAAAATCCATTTTTTTCGGTTGAAATTCACAAAATTCAAAATGCGTAGCGTTTCCTAACGTTGCTTTCGCCCAATCTCATCATGAATCGCGTCACAAACGGTGAGCTACCCAGACCGTGACATTTGACATTTGCAATTTTGTTTACTTTCAGGCAGTTCAACAATGCCACCGTCCGCTATGGATAAATCCAAAGACTGGCAACTAGAGATCTTAATGGAGAAGCTGCGCTCCAAGTCCTCGCAGTACAAAAGCTTGGCCGAAATATCGAAAAATGTCCGAATGGCGATGCTTGTAGGTTATGTCTGTCGTCGCTTCCTCCATTACATTGCCCTACTTTCAGGACAAACGCTACGCCCTGGACAGCGTCGAGAAGAGCCAGCACCAGAAGTGCCTCGACACGTTGCAGCACTCCATCAAGGTGACGTCGCTGCAGAGCATGATCGAGCGCCTCGAGAGCTTAACAAGACAGCTGGGGTTGAAATTTATGGTGGGACCATCGGGGGTGGAACTCTTCATATCTTCCGACATGTTCTACTTAGAGATAGTCTTAGATCAAACCGGTGCTGTGAAAGATGTGAAAGTGCATCACGAGAGCAAGCTCGAGCAGCAGAGCTGCTCGGAACTCGTCAATTGTTTATCTAGAGGCGATTTCGCCGACTTCACTGCCCAACTGGAAGGTTTCGCGTCGATTTACCAGTTGAACGCCGAGAAGAAGATCAAGTGCAAGGCGTTCACTGCGCTGCAGTCGTTGGAGTCTGATTTGAGCACGCTAGCGCAGCTGCAGTCTTTCATGAAGGAGCCTTTCAATTTGTTGTATAAGTCGCCGGTGGGGGTGCTCGAGAAGCGGCGAGGGGGGCACCCGATGAAACTGACGTACTTCGTCTCGCCGTACGATTTGTTAAATGTTGAAAAATGTGATATTGAGCCTATTACGGTTGATACAATCATCAGTAAGTCGTTAGGGTATAGTGTGACGGTTTGTATGGAGGGGTCTGCGACGCATAAGTTGCAGACGACGACGTTGATTACGGTGAATAGGAATATCAACGGGAAGAGGTAATTATGAGTTAGGAGAGTCGTTTGAGTATTTTTATTGTGGTTTTTAGTACTCCGTCGTTTTCTTCATTGAGTAGTCAGAATAGTGCGGCTATTCCAGCGTGTTTCGTTCTCAAGTTGAATAAGCCAATGCCAATGTGTGTGAGTCTGGTTCGACAGATTCAGCAAGTTACTGAGTTGGATACTATAGAACAATCAACTACCCATCCGTTGCTTAGTTTAATAGTACATCATGCTAGTGATGGGAAAATGGAATCAGGAAGTAACAAAGGTCTTTTTGTGGTAAGCAAAGTCACATTTATGTTGACTAATTTTTAAGTATAAATAAAAAATATTTTGTCTATTAAAATTTTAAGTTTTAATTATCTACCAATGCTTTAAATTTTAAACTTCATTAATGGGAAACCTTTTACATAATTATTAAATATGTATATGACGTTGTTTCAAAATATTGTTATATATACTGTTCAGGATGTCTTTAGACAAATGTCCATGTAAATCTAGTAATTTGGTTGGCAACCAATTTCCAAATTTATCATATTAGGTTAAGTTGTTTTTAATGTTAGGTTAGAAAATCTGACAAAAATTGTAACACTATTGCCAAAACCACCCAAAACTCACTCATCGTCTTGTCTACCAAATAAATCATCTAAAAACCCATTGTTAATTTGGGTGGAATTACGTGTTCTCAAAAACATATTTTTGTTTACATACATTGCGACCGTTTACTTCGCTATGTTTGTAATCCAACGACCTGAGAATTTTGTACACGATTGTACCGTTTTGTCAATGGATCAGTTTATCCAACGTGAAGAAAAAATTTCATGGTTAAAAACATCCTGAACGATTTATACAATGTGGTACAAACTGAACTCTTCTAGTAGGCCATGCAATTTATTTTTAAAATAATTATGTTGGCAATCCAATTACTTGACAATTGTTTCACCGCAACTGTCAAACCAAACAAGGAACGCGTTAGTGTTGCCAGGATAATTATCTTAAATTAAATTTCATTGCTTGCTGGACGACTTTTTTTCGATTTTTCAATTTGTATGCATTTTAATCGTTGCAGACGCTACCAGATCAAACTCACTGTTACTTCATGACTGAAAACAAAACCATGGATGGTGTTCTTGTGACTAGCATTCCGTTTACGCATCCAGCTCATGTTTCTCAAATTTTGGTGATTTTAAGACAGCAAGCTCTCTTCAATACGATAATCAGTAGTTGCGTACGTCCAAATAGTAAACAAGGTAAGAGTAACTAATACTAAAGTGTGAAAATTAAAACATGAAAAGCACGTCAGTGTTGATTATTATTATTTATTAAATGAAAATTTGGGAATTTAAAGATATTGATCTGTAAACGCTGTTTGCGGTGTATTTGGTTTTATTTTTCACATAAAATACAATACTTAAATTTTTGTGTACACATAATAGGTACAACAATAAAAAAAAACAACTAAAAGAATATTCTTTCACAAATAATTAAAAAAATAGGATTAAGAATTGTTATAAAACTGAAAACTTTTTTAACTTCTTTTGGATCACCTTGGAAACAATGGTATTTTGGAATTGATATATTCATTTATTTATACCTACTCTAAAAATATATATACCGAGTTTAATGCAAAAATATAATCACCAAAAATTATGTATTTAAGGAAAATTTGTTTAAAACAATCCGGACTGACCTTTGAAATTAATAAGTTTTTAATAGATGTTTCTGACAGACTCGGCAGAACTATCACATCTTTTTTGCATGAATACTTTATTGGTATATTTAAATAGCACTGAATTATAGACCTCATTAAATATGAAGCATGACAATGGTCTGTGTTAAATAATTTTTCGCCAAAAATAATTTTAAGACATCATGAATAATAAACACAATGTTTATTAATTTTAGTATTTTCGTTTTCGCGAGATCTAAATTTTCGTTCCGTTTTTACGCACAACGAATTAACCAATCACTGGGATACAAAACTACCGATTAAATCTTCTTTTGTTCCAAACAAAAACGATATACAAGCTTTAAATTTTAATACCTTACCTAACTTCACAAAGCTTCATATAATTTCAAACTTTTGCTCGATTAATCCTATGTAGAATGTACACTATACCGATTTTCCTTCTATGCACTAATAAGCCCATACTTTTTAGAATTAACAAATAATTAATGATTTAGCTAATCTCAGAGATTGAATCAAATTTTTTTGACATTATCGAGAAATTATTGTTTCGATTATTCAGTTTTTGCTTCGATAAGGCGGCAAATGTAGACTCTGACTTTCACTATGAGTCCTTTAGTGCTAAATTTTTTTTGAGGATGTGTAGTTTATGAAAAAAGTGTTGGGATGGTAACAAATTTACTAGAGAAGTTTACATATTTTGTTCGTGTTGCAATTAGAAACATTCAAAATCTTCCAAAAACTGTTTGATGTGGTCCTCTGTCTGTTGAATAGGCAGTAATTAGAACTGTTAACAAAAGGGTGCAACTTACCTTATTACGAGAAAGTTGACCAGTAATTTGAATCAAACTGACTACTCTTTCGTTAAAACGGAGAAGTACGTTTTCGTTTATTGGAAGTTCAACTCTTTTCCAGCCCGACCAGTCGACGGAAGTTTCTATACTAGATATAGATTTGTAAAATTGCAACCTAACCTTTATCTGTGAAATCATGTATGGCTGATCTAAAACGAAAATGTAATTTTTTTATATATAAATAATAACAAACTTACTTAAACACAGATACGTTCTAAATGAATCAGACGTCCCCCTATGTTGATAAATAAAAAAAAGTTTGAAAACCGTTTCTATCTACAACATCGGGATAAATTTAACCTATCCCACTCAAATGAGTGATTGTTGTACAATTATTTCAAACACAAATATATTTTTCATTTATTTAAATTTTATTGCAGATAAAATTCTGTATGTTTTACGTGGACTAACGCATTATTATCGTACTCGTGTGACCATAGAATTTTGCTTACCTATATCACCGTGTGAGCAAACTTCACACATATAGATAGTAGTGCTTCCACGTATAACGTAAACAACCATTAGACACTTTTAACATCTAACTAATTTTGTGTGTTCTAATGGTATGTTTACGTATATTTCATTTCTAAAAATTATGACATGTATCTCAAAGTGATAAAAGAAACGATGAAACTTAATTCATTAGTACATATACAGTGAAATCTTTCTTCAGCGGACAGCTTCAGAACTGAGCAAAACCCGTCCTCCCATTTGAGTGTCCGTTAATGAGAAAAAAAATGAATTGTATAAGTATTTCGTTTTTACAAGCGTATTAACTAAGCCTATATTAATAAGAAAATGAACTTTTTGGAATACTAAAAATGAACAGAAAACAGTTCAGTGTAAAATGAACAAATCATTAAAATAATCCAGTTATGTAGTTTGGCGGTTGTTGGATTTAAATAAAATATGGCAAAGTGTAATTCCAAACGAATAATATTTCCAATGTTTTAGAATCTTCCTGATATTTGACAGATTGTTGCAAGTCCTTTACCATATCAATAGACTGTTGATAATTTGCTACTTGTTCGTCATTTGACTCGTCAAATCTGCTACTAATAAATTGTTATCTATGTTAAAGAACTCTTCTAAGTTACTTCTCTTCTTACTGATCATGTTAACACAATTTTCCCATTTCACTGCAAGAGTTTATAAAAAAGAGACCCCTTTCATTTGCGTTATAGATGTCTTTTGGCAACTAGATTTTCAAAAGTTGAGGATTCTTGGTTAATAATGTTTCTACATCTTGGTTCACACTTGCTGGTTCACCAGAAATAGCCTTAAAATAAATGTTTAGGCATTTACGAATATTTCAAGCCAACCAGTTGAAGCATGAAATTTCCATACCCTAAACTCTTCATTGGGCTCGAATTACAGGTCCTAAAAGTCTAATATTCGGGGAAAAATACTGGCATATGCATTAAGTTATCTGATGCAGCGGTTTCTTTTCTATTTTTGTAAACCATTCATTACATAATTTGTCAATGTTCAATCTTTTTATCCTCAAAACCATTCGTTTTTTCTACACTTGCTATAAAAAGTGCTGTAAAACACACGACGAACTCACTTTGAAAGATACTGTCTGGGCATAGCCTGCGCAAATTTTTCACAGTCTTGTCATAATTGATCTTTGGTATAGGTAACTAAAATTGTTGAAATTATTAATTTGATAAAATAAAAGACGAAATCATTAGTTTATTCTCGATTCACTGCTGAGAATTATGATAACAGCGTTTACTTTAGTCATCAACTGAAGTTTCTACCACCTAAAATCGGACAGAATTCAATTACTGAACAATCAATCAAACAGAAATAGCTTCTATTAGTTGATTTAAGAAATTTTTGCACATCATTTAAATGTAAATAAAGTGTAATGTGCAACGTGTTTGAAATTGACTCATTTCACACTCATTTGACTTACAGCACTCGCAGCAGGAGTCTTTTTCAAAATCTGTTGCACTATATCGTATTATAGCAAAAAGAGTGCCACATATTTATTAGTACCGACTGTTTTAGTTTCCCCCATTTTAATATGTCTGGACATGTCTTTTCTTAAAAAGATAAGATGCCGCATTTGGAAGGCATTTTTCTAAAATAGCTAATGTATAATGGTCAAACACTTGTCTGCACATTTGGGATTCAGAGAAATGCTTCAATCGATATAAAAACCAGAGGGTGTTCAGTGATAACTACCGTTCAAAAGAGATCTAATATATATCTATTATTTTACACAAATGCGTAGTATCCGTGTCCACTCAAAGCAGAGCCCGTTTATGAGAGGTTCATATATATTTTGTTTATCTACAACTTGAGTAATAAACTATTATTCCACTAGTGGTGTAATGAAGGTGAACAGTTTATACAATTTTTCATATTTGGTTTTTGATTTATCAGGTAACAATGAAGACACTACAATCACTCAATCACTCATTTTTCGATCGAACAAAATTTTTCTTCTAAAAACTGACGCGTTTTTTACAACAAATTTGAGCGGTTGTCATAACACTGCAAAAATTCTTTTGCTTCTTGATTTTTAATTAATAAAAAAAAATCGTTGGCTTTTTTCTTTTTCATTTTTGGGCAATTGTAGATAAAGTTTTGTATTTCATACTTGGGCTAGAGCATATTACAGCAACTCGTGTCCCACACTTGTAGTCCTGTAATAATGCCTCTATTCCACTAATAAGATAAATAACTATTATAATGTCAGTACCTAGACTATGAAAAAAATGTTCGGCTTAAAAGAGTTGTCCGCTTATGGGGGTTGAAGGAGAGATTTCACTGTAGTTTCACCAAAAATAAAAAAAAATGGACAATATAAACATCTTACCCGAAAGGGAATATATAGGTTTCGGAAGTTATGACGTTTGAAAAAGGGCAAACAACTTGGTTATGTATTTTAGGAACCTTACTGCTCATGTAAACTTGAAATCTACTAATTCTGGCGGTATCGTTCTGCAAAGAAATTCATAGCATTATATTTTTAATGTGGTGAGTAGATTGTAGGATCACAGTTAGTCAAGATTTATAACTTTGCAATGTGTAATAGTAAATTTTTAACACTTTTATCTATGGTATGAACAGTCAATATATTCTACTAGTGTTATCTCGAAAAATAGAGTTTAATTAGTGCAATATTTTGAGTAACACATAAAATTTATGCCATATTTATAACATAAAAATAACGAAAAAAACCGAAAGAGCCCCATAACACAAAGACAAGCGTCATTTTTTACATAAGTATAGATTTTTAAACTCTTATCTCACTTTTGAACGAATGGCTATTTTTCGGCGAAATTTTTAATCTGATTTAGGCGCCTTCACATTTCAGTTGGCAACAGCACTTCGGACGTTTTTTTATTTGTTTCAGTATCTATGGTTACTCGTTAATAAAAAAAGGACAATCGCTTAGGAATAAAACAAAGGCGTTTGCTTTAAATGAATGCATGGTTCGACATGCATACCATTTGCTTTCTCTAGTTGACAAGATTAGAAATCACTACTAAATTTTAGCATCTAGTCGGATTCACATATTTTTGTTTTTCTGTTGGAAGTAAAAATATTTGCATGTACAGCGTGGAGGGTGGAATAAGAACGGAGGAATACGGTGAAATTTGTGGCACCGACCCCTCTGAATCTAAAAACCGTTTACGACTATGCATTCGACTTAACCACGTCCCTAGGTTCGAATTTGGTTTATCATCCATCAAGGGGATGATTATGAAAACTAAGTGTCTCTTCAAGATTGTTCACTTTCATCACAGATTTACAAAGTTTGCAGCTCATCATGTTGAGTTTATTAGCAAAAAGACACATTACGTATAAAGCAAAATAACTAGTAGGTATGTACGGTAACACGATCGGTATTTCTAGGTCTGCTCGCACGTGCGCATAACCCATAAACCAAACGTAAACGATGTTTGCGGTCTGATTTTGTCTCAAAACCGTATCATTGGAAGCATACGACATGCTCCCCGAGTTCTTCTTCCAATCACCTCGATGTACAGTTATTTTATCTTGCTTAGGGCCAGCTTATAGAATATTTTAATTGAGCTTAAGTTAATTATGTTTATAATGAGGCGTTTAGTGACGCCTGATTGGCGTAGAGTCTGTCACGTGGTACTTTAATGCCGCATTAAAAATTTACCATTAATCAAATATTTAATTGAGCTTCTGTAAACCGGCTCTTATTTCAGTAAAATTATAATATGTACCTTTAAGACTATCCTAATGTACCTAGCCTGTTGTTCTTCAATATACAAGTTTTGAGTGTAGTGACAAAAGTATTTCCTATAATCTATAACATTATGCCACTTTTGCAGGTCTGTTGAAACCTCTATGTAGTAATGGTGCCACGTACTTCGACAAATATTTACGTATCATCTCAAAAAATCCTTAAACAAACTCAGAAATAACGGTACTTACCCATCCATTATATACATTGTTATATAATTGAAGCATTTTACGGCACCAAGATCTACAGTAATACCGTTTTTATCGTCCTTATTGTGATAAGCACCTTCTTCAAGCTTTTTAGTTTCTTCAAACAACATTGCGGTATTTAATCCAGAAATTACTTTAACGTTATATTTTGCTGTAGCAAGATTTTTATCTTTCACTAAAAATATATCCAAATCTATATTTCCGATTTGTCTCTTAATCAGTCTTCGTACTTACACCGTCCAGCAAAGCATCGCTGTGTTTCTTTCGGACCGTTAACCTCAATCGTTGCAAGAGCATTCAAGAGTTTTACTTCATCAACTATTTTAGACGGCCAAACAACAGTTAAAATTTCGTTTCGCGTTAACGTAGAAAACCGAATGCATTCAATAACCAACTTGTCTAAGTCTTTGTTAATTTTGCACCAGTTGGCCGCTATCTTAAATACATCAATTTCTTCAGCAGGGAACACATCTCTTTTCAACAAGTTAATCATAGATTTCTGAAACGAGGCATTATATGTTTAAGTATACCTAGCTATTTTGGAGAAGTTACTTGTGTGAGAACATTTAAAAAATCATATTCAAACATTCGCGAAACATATTCATCGATAAAAGCATGACATATTTCTTTTAACTCGTCCATGTCATGTGCGTTGGCCTTGTTTAAAAGGGAACAGACATTCGACAAATTCACAATGGAATTCATTTTTTCGTTTATACTCTTTTCCAGTGTTTTTAATGAATATTCATGTGCTAGCTGCAATATATCGGATATATCATTTTCGTCTTCCGATGCGATGACAACGGATCCTGCAACATATTTTACACGATAATATAAATATTTAGTTACAATTTTGGCTGACTACCTGTATAAATGTAATATAGTATTGTTTCAAAAGCTTTTGAAGGCACATTCTGTAAAGCAATTTCAGCCTGAAAACAATTTATTAATGTTAACATTTCCATGAACACTCTCTTACTTGTTTTGGGTCTTTCATTAAAAGAGACTCAAAATATTTGCATCTAGCAGCGAGCACAATCTGAAAGTTAAAATTTATTCTAAGTTAATATTTTTGTAAACCACTGAAAAAACCTACTTTGTGCGCATGAATTTTTTTATCTGGTAGGATTAGTTGAATGTCGGAAAACGTTTCCCTCAAGTAGTAAGGTGACATATCTTCATACATTTTCGAAGAATCAGTAATAATTATTTTTTGTTGGGGTTCTGCTTCGTTTGCCATTGTAGTTGGTAGAAATCTAAAAATATTAGACAAGGAAATATTTTAGCGGTGGCTGAAACAAAGTTTCTGGTGCGATTGCAACGTGATGACTGATTACTGATTAGATTCAAATGTTGCCGTTACGCCTTTGGAATGACTTACATTTATCTATAGATTTTGTTAACTTACTGATAAACCGATAAAGAAATGTTTGAATCGACTAGAACAGGTGATCTTTATCAACTGTTTTAAAATTAGACCTAGTTGGGTACACCCCATATCTTTAATCCTTACTCACTCTTTTAATTATTTAATTCTTATTATGGTAAAGTGCGATATGATGTCTCTGATGCTCAGTAATTATCCACTTGTCTTTAAGAAACAACATAGGTTGCAATAATTAATCTCCAAAAATTATGTTGTTATTTCATAGTTTATTAAAAGTTTTACTTAATTTTAAAATTTATACAACGTGCCCGTAAATGGTTATCCATTGGTGTAGCGCTAGAAATGTACAGTTTTTAATTTTACAGTTTGTTTTACTAGTTATTATGATGATAAATTCACAGCTGATAACCTCGTTTTGAGAATTTGAAACAATTATTTAAAAAATTCCCACTATTATTTACTATACCTATGCTTCTTACATAATCGTTTATTATTACTGTAAAAGAACCAATATCTAACGTCGAAATATTGCAAATCTTTCAGAAAATTTCTAAAATCTTTCTTGACCTGTTGAAAAGAAATATATTTGTAGAAAATACAATTGAATCGGTGTTTTTGGTAATGATAATACTTATAACTGCATAGTCGACCTTCAGTGCTAATGAAACTTACTTATCTTTCTTTAAAGCTTAGAAGTTGGCAATCACTATAGCCAGCATATTTTCTGTTTGTAATAATTTCCTATTTAACGTCATACATTGAAGTTTTTATAATTTTTATAAATCGTAACAATATCTTCATACGTGAAATTATGTACGGCTGATCTAAAAACAAAAAAATGTGAATTAAATTAAACGTTTAAATAATTAATTAATTTTTTTATGCCTAATAGTATATTATATTTCCAGTTTTTAAAGAGTGAACTTCGACTAAATGACTTACGGTAGTAACTAGCCTAAATTTTTTGTACTAATCATTACACCCCTGAATCGTGTTGAAGTTTTTCCTCGAAATCAAGGCTTATATGAATCAATTTGCAAAGCTGAGTCTTGTACAGTATTTTGATAGAAATATAAAAAACCATTAGTACCGAAAACACAAAATTTTGTATAGTTTTTGAAATATGATATGATATAACCAAAAAAACGCAATTTTAAAATTATGAAAATTCAAGAATTTATTCAAGCTTAGATTAGGAACAGCGTTATTATTAAAGAAAAACGTAAACATTTTTATTTGTTTTGGGTTTTGCCTTAAAATAGATTCAAAACATTTGCATCTGATACCCAATCTAAAAATTAAAAGTTTTTTAAAAAATCGATGTTAACACTATGTCGGAAAAAGTCTCTATTAAATAAAACAGACACATATCATCAGAAACTTTTGAGGATTTTCTAAGAGGGATAGTTTGTTCAGGTTCTTCGTTTTTTTGCCATTTTATGCTGTACAGAAATATAGATCAATTTATTTTATCGCTGATTAGATTTGTTTGTCTACGAGATGTTATCTATAGTACTTATTGTGTAAATCGCTTTATTTTTGTAGAATTCTCTCTGATAAGGAAATTATTGAAGTTATCAAGGAGGAGAACAACACTTTTATTTATCTCTGAATGATATGTTTTCGTCAACGATCACTTAAAATGTTTTAATAATCTGTAACTGATTTCGCCTTTAAGCAGATGTTGAGCAATTCCTTTCTTTAAAATTTTAAAATAAAATTAAAATTCTGATTTGCGACTGTTTATCTGGCTATATGTCGGTGACTTCTTAACAAGCAATAACCACCCAAAAATGTTAGACTAGTTTTGGGGATATTTAAATATAAAAACCTTCACCATAATTTGTTTATTCATCTGCATTAAAAACGTAATGACGTCATATTAATATTTTGCTGAATAAATATGTAGATTTAAAAAGGTCGCTGTGATACTTATGTTGTGACTACTTATTAATATAAACTTATTTTTAACGTTGTGTATTAGCTTTTTGTGACAAAATTCAAAATCTAACAACAATAGTATCTACAATTTCTCTTAGAAATTCCATCGATTGATTTTTTAAATGCTTTATCCCGTTCAAAAATTAATTAATAAATAAAGCTACTTATTTTACTAGTTAAGTTAAAACAAGTTTTTAATTTTTCTGAAATTTTTTCAATATAGGACTGTTGTTTGCCAGTACTACGCTATACCCTTCTAAATTGATATATTTGTCCCTACTTAAAAGTTGATGACCATAGAACTTTGACAAAATTGTATTTTTTTATTCGCTTCAAATCAGTGATGACGTAATCTGAAAAAAAACATGACATAAATGTTGATTAAAAGATATGCGTTTTGGTTTTCTTAATAAACTCTTCCATTATTTGAATTATAATTTTTTCCCCAAAAGTATTTAACCACTCGTTCATTATTTTTAAATCTGCTTTGTCATTTCAGACTTCGAAAACATGACCATGTTCGAAATAAGTGCCCTTTCCTGGACCCACATCTCCCTCTCCCTCGAGCACCCGGTCGAAGAAAGCATGGCCACCGCCGAAATCGACCTAACCGACATTTCGAACCTCGTCTGCAAGATCCGCAGTCCGGGAACCCCGCCTCCGGCGAACGCTCCCGACGCCACGTCCGATCTCAGCACGAAGATCCTAAACCGGTGCTTCTCCATCCCGGTGACGATGCGCGCCGTCATCAAACTATGGGAGAAGCAAGCTGCCAAACGCCATTACAACGGGCACGAAAATTTTAGTTTACCCCTCGGTTCCGGCGACCCTGGGGGTCACAAGGGGGCCCCAGGTGGAGGATTGACGGAATTCGGGGGGTTAGATAAGATCAAGCAAGAACCCCCTGGTAACGGCGGCCACGGCATGATGATGCAGGGACATCAAGGGATGTTCCTCAACGAGTCGATGATGGCCAACGCGAATTTCCAGAATTTTCAGACGAGCGACGGCATGCTGAGCAGCATAGAGTTGACGAACATTCTGTCGGGGAACGGACAGGAGAAGATGAAGCGGCCGCATAAGAGGAAGTCGGACGATTTGTGGAAGAACAAGAGGAAGCTGGGCGAGGCGACGGACGCGGAGATGCTGGTGGAGACGTCGAGCAGCGACTCGACGTCGAGGAGCACGCCGATTTCGCAGGAGAACGAGATCCCGACGCCGAATTCGGGGTTGGGGTTTCAATCGGATTTGGAACTGATGAGTGGTTTGGATCCGGCTGAGTTGCTGGCCGACTCAGATAAGGTAAGCCGAAGAAATTATTACTTCCTGAGCGTAAGCTAGTCCGGACGACTTGCCACTTTCATGATTTTTCGACGTTTCATGACCTCAAGTGATCTCCCGTTTCCGTCTGTTTGTCTGTCTGGCGTCTGTGTCGATTTTTATTTGACACGTAATCTCCGAAAGTACTGGACCGATTGTTGTCAAATTTTGTATGTATATTAGGAATATCATGTAGATGATAAAACGCTAACCAAAATTTGACTAATCTTCCACACCACCAATGGGATAACATCATCTCCAAATCTACAAGAACGGTTCACACTGTTTTCCCGGAAATTTGGAAATGCAGTACTGTTACTATTAGTATTACATTACATCTATCCAAATTGATATTCATGTCCTTGCAAAAAAGTTGATGACGTCATCATAAACTTTTGTAATGGAAAAACTCACTTGAAATAAACGTGTAGCACACTTTTTTACATTTACTTTAACATTACATCCCCATATCTTTATTTTAACTTCTCATAAAAACTAAAATTTACAAACATTTTTCGGTTTTTCATTTTCTTTCATTTTTCAATTTTTCGTTTCCTCAATTTTTCAAGTTCTTGATTGTCTTTTTCTCGTTTCTTTCATTTCCACTTTCTCGATTTTATAGCACAAATTTTTGTTATTTTATTTCCTTTATTTTTTCGATGTTTCTTTCGACATTATAATTTTTCGTTTATTCGATTTTCCAAATTTTCAATCTTTGATTTTTCAATTCCTCGATTTTCCAATTTTAAAATTTTTCGGTTTTGCAATTTTTGGTTTCCAGTTGTCCGATTTTTCGATTTCTTTAATTTTTAATGTTTCGATTTTTCAGAGTATTCATTTTATCCTTTCTTATTTTTGGTTTTTCATTTTTGCAGTTTTTGCATTTTTTTTTATTCGAAAAGTTGAAACCTAGGAAAAAATTAATTAGTCGAAAAATTAAAAAAAAAACCGAATCGAATAGAAAAATTGGAAAACCCAAAAATTGTAAAATTGAAAAATATATAGAATCGTCAAAAGTGCAATGCCGAAAAACTGAAAAATTACAAGTCGAAAAATAAAAATCGAATAAACGAAAATTTTAAAATTCAGTTATTGAAAAATGAAAAAATTCTATAATCGTAAAATTGAAAAATGAATTTTTTTTTTAAATTATAATTATTTCCACCTACATATTTAAAACGAAAACTAAAAAATTGCGAATGAAAAATTAAAGAAACGAAAATTTGAAAAATAGAGAAACTGAAAATGATAAAATTGAAAAAACAAAAGTTTAACAAACAAAAAATTGAAAAATAAAAATACTGAAAACCGAAAAATAAAAAAATTCAAAAGTTGAATAATGTCACATAGGAATAAAACGAAAAATTATAAAATCAGAATTGAAAAAGCGAAAAATCGAAAAATTTAAAAATGAAAAGTGGAAGAGTTACATATTGTAAAATTGAAGAAACAAAAAAAATGAAAAATAAAATAAAAAACCGAAAAAAAATTGCAAATCGAAAATTTGAAGGATCGAAAAATTGAAAAGTCCAATAAATGGAAGTTTTAAAATCCAATAATTGAAAAATGGAAGTATAAATGGAAGTATTCTAAAATCATAACTTTGAAAAAGTAAAATATTTTAAAAATTATTATTATTAATATATTACCCATTTAAAACAAAAACTAGAAAAAATGCAAATCTAAAATTGAAAAAACGAAAAATTAAAAATTTTAAAACTGAAAAATTGACAGCCGAAAAAATAAAAATGATAAAATCAGCACACTGAAAAAACAACGAAAATAAAAACCGAAACGAAAAATTGCCAATCGAAAAGTTGAAGTGAAAAATGAAAAACCGAAAAATTAAAAACTGGAAGAGTTACATATTGTAAAATTGAAGAAACAAAAAATAAGAAAAATTGAACGAATAATTGAAAAAAATTTAAATTCAAAAAACAAAAAATTATAAATTCAGAACATTGAAAAGTCGAAAATTTGAAGAAATAAGAAAATTGAAGAATCGAAAAGTCGAATAAATGGAAAGAAAATTTTAAAATCCAATATGTAATTGAAAAATGGAAAAATTTTAAAATAATAGCATTGAGAGAGTGAAATATTTTAAAAGTTATTATTTTGATTATTATTACACATTTAAAACGAAAAATTAAAAAATCTAAAAGTGAAAAATTGAAAACCGAAACATAGCAATTTGAAAAACTGAGAAATCCAAAAATTGATCAATTTCAGACAGAAAGAAGAAAAATTATAAAATCACCAAACAATTGAAAAAACAGAAAGTAACCGAAACAAAAAATAGCAAATCTAAAAGTTGAAGAAGTGAAAAATGAAAAATTGAAAACTCGAAGAGTTACATATTGTAAAATTGACGAAACAAAAAAAAGAAAAATGAACGAAAAGTGGAAAAAAATTGAAATTTAAAAAACGAAAAATTGAAAAAAAACTAAGAGAAAATAAAAAACTTAAGCGAATAATTGCAAATCAAAATTTGAAGAAGTTAAAACTGAAAAATCGAAAAAAAGTTTAAATTTAGAAAACAAAAAATTTTAAAATCAGAACATTTAAAAATCGAAAATTTGAAGGAAAAAAATGAATAAAAAAATCGAAAAATCGAATAAAAGAAAAGTTTTAAAATCCATTAACTGAAAAATGGAAAAACTCCAAAGTTATAACTTTTGAAAAAGTAAAATATTTTAAAAGTTATTATTATTATTATTATTACACATTTAAAATGAAAATTAGAAACATTAAAAAATCTAAAACTAAAATATTGAAAACAGAAAAATTGCAATTCGGAAAATTGAAAAATCCAAAAATTGATCAAAATCAGATCGAAAAAAGGAAAAATTAAAGTTTCAAAATCTAAAAACTGAAGAAACCAAAAACTGAAAAAATTAAAATTGAAAAACAAAAAATTATAAAATCGTAACGTTGCAAAATCTAAAAATTGAAAAATTCAAATTTGGAAAATTGAAAAACTGAAAAATTAGTATTAAAAACTAAAAAAACTGCAAATCGAAAACTGAAGAAACAAAAAAAATGAAGAATTGAAAAATTCAAGTCAAAAACATTCGTGTTACTGGTGTCATTATGGGTTTTTACTTTATAGAGGTTATCAGTAAAGAAAAATCACAAATACATAATTTTTATAAGTTTTTCAAAAAAGCGGAATTTGTTCACTTCAAGGGCAAGGGAAGTTCTGTCGAAACAACTTTCCAGCAATTTTTTAACTGTGGCGAACAAAAATCGTTATTTGTCCTCATCGTAATGTCATTGTTGTTAGGTGAGTGGTGATTTTGGAAGTCTGGACGAATTAGGCGACGTAGAGGAAATGCTGGCTGGCCCTTCTAGACGAAAATCTCGAGACCAAAAATCGCCCACTAATCTCATGATGGATTTAGGCGAGAAGAATTTGGTACCTCCAAGCGTCAGCATCACTCCCATCGCCACGAGTTCGCCGGGATTCACCTCAGGCGGTAACGCGGAGAAGAGAACCGGAATAGAAATCATAGCCTTGGCGACTTCCGCCGCTAATGCACTGCCCAGTTCCATCACCATAACGCCGATAACGTCGTCACAAAGCAAAAGTGGCGAAGAGAAGAACAAAGAAAAGAAGAGCAGCAAAAGCAGGTCGGACGATAAGGTTAGAGAAGTTGATTCGTATTTATTTCGGTTGTGGGTGTAGTTGTAATATTGTTATAGAAATAAAAGAACTTTCTGCTTCTAGTCTCTTAGGTATTTTTATTTGCTTGTGTGTGTTGTCGCTTTACAGTGGACGAATTCTCCAAGAAGACGAAGCCTCGTAGTTGCCGCTGCATGTCTTTCCTTCTTTCGTACTGTTATTATATTATCCCTTTCTAACTTTAAGGGACGCATCGAAAAGAAGAGAAAACGCAAACGCGACGAGAGCCCTATGGGTCCGCCCGAGAAAGTCCCCCCAAAGCAGGACCCCTTAACCAAACCGGTAACCGTTAGCATCAAACCGGCCGAATCCCCTCCGCTCAACATGAGCACGCCGACCAGTCCCAGCATGATGCGCAAGTTCAACGCCTCGCCCACTCAGAACCGCAGCCTGTCGATGAGCGGCAAGCTCAGCCCCAACCTGATGAAGCCCACCCTCAAGACGGGCTCCTCCCACCACAGCCCCAAGCACAGTCCCGCGCACGTGCCTAGCAGCCCCAAGCACATCATCCCCGGCATCTCCAGCCCGAAGAGCCACGGCACCTCCCCAAAGCATCCCTCGGCCAGCGGCTCGGGCAAACCCAGCATGTCGACCTTGAAGAGCGCCGCCAACTCCCCCAGTAGTAAAAATAGCGACTCGAAAACGAAATCCGCTTCCAAGGACTCTTCCAGGGACAAGGACAAGAAAATGTCGGGTGTGTTTAACGTGAGTGCGTCAAAAAACAAGTCGTCCGTGAAAGTGAAACCGCTAGATTTGAACGCGGACACGTTGAGCGGAGTCCAAGACGGGCTGCCTTCCCCTAGTTCGACGGACGTGTCGAAGTCGTCGAATTCGAACCAGGTTAGGAACAGAAAGGGATCGCTTTCGGCGATCGTAGATAAGTTGAAATCGTCAGCGCAACACTGTGATGGTGCCACGGACTTAAGTAGTAAGTCGTCGAGTGGGGGGAGTGGGGGTGGTGGGGGTAACAGGGAGAGGAGCGGGCAGGTGTCGACGAAGCTGAACGAGAGTAAAAGTGGGAAGATAGGGGAGGCGAAGAACTCAGAGTACATGGTTAAACCGAGTTCGGACGGGATGAAGATAACTATTAATAAGACGAGGAGTAAGGACAGTAAAACGAGTGTGAGTAAATCTGGGACGGGGTCGCCGAAGACGCACACTGGGCTGAAGCCGGGGGTGAATAGTGGGCCGGCGTCGAAGAAACCGCAACATTTAGGTCAAAAGGTGAGTGTAGATTTTTTTGTTGGGCTGAAGCTAGATTGTCCCGTTTCTTACTCGGTTTCGACACTGTTGGTAGCTAAAGCGGCATGCAAGTCGGGCGCCAGTTTTTACACTCTGGCGAACTTTGGCTGTTTAAAAGTTTAAAACTATCGAAATAACGCTAGCAGCTTTAGATTAAGAGATCATAGCCAGTATCCGGCGGTTAACGACTGTATAAGCAAAATTTAAGGTGATCGACGCAGTGGCGTTAAAAATAAGAATCAAGCAGTCAAACAAAAAATCTCACAGTAAACAACAAGAAACTTAAAGGTCGTGAATTACGTAAAAATGCTATTGTTTTTTTTTTCATTTTAGCAGATTTCCGGTTCCAACGTTAGCAACTCAACCGGTGGAAGCACAAACTATTCCGGCAGCATGAAAAGCAGTAAAGCTCCATCATCCGGTACCAAAGTATCTAGCGGAGGCACTTCAAAGTCACTCTCCAAACTAACCGGTTCACCGAAAAGCGCAACCGACTTAAGTCGGAAAGACCGACCGAAACTAAACAAAAGCAGCTCAGAAAAGTCGATTTTTTCGTCGAAAGATGGTCGCAAATCAAGTCCCACTTCCAACCGAGACGAGTCGGATGGAGTTTACAAAATGTCAAAGATGGACCCTTACCCGTCTTCTATAGTCGAAGGCTTAATGACCGTCAGACAACTAGATAAAAACTTCCAAATCCCCAAACTATCAGCACGCGCATCCGTCGACGACAAAAAACCCAAAGTCACTTCCGACAACATGAACAACATCAATCGGACCGTCGACACGAAGATCTTCGACATGATGAACAAAACCGACCTCTCTTTGCCCAAATTCAATCCTCTTGCGATTCCCGGCAGTAAAACCTTCGAAAACTCCTTGGACCCTAAACTCCGAAACAACGTGACCAACACTCTCCCTTTGCCCAGTTCTAGTCCGAAAGTGAAAGACGAAGAAGACAAGAAAGACCAGCCGCAGAACCTCACCCAGAACAAGGACGACTCCGCCTACAAAATTAACTATCCAATCACAGTGCCCAAGTCGGTTCTCCCTCCCATTCCCGAGCCGCTCAATCTTTACAACAAAAGCATCGATTTGACGGCGAAATTCGTAGCGCCCGCCCCCAAAGACGATAAAAAAGACACGAAGTCGGCGAAGAACGACGGTGACGTGCTTCTGGATTTTTCGAGCGGTAATAAAATGGAGGGGAAAGGTGGTGGGGGCAGTGGACCGATGACGTTTCCTCAGTCTCCCTCCGTCAGTGTTCATATAGTTAAGTCGCCGGCTCCCAGCCCTCTTATAGCGCCGAGTCCTCATTCGGCGTCGCCCTGTATAACGGACGATGAACTTATGGACGAGGCGGTGATCGGTATAGGGAAATAAAAAATCGGGTTTTTTTGTAGTTATTGGCGCGAGATCATGAAGACAAACGAGGAGTTGTGGTAGTCGCGGTTCGGTGACAGTGAAAGTGAGGTTAGGTAAGGTAGAAGGGATGAGGGAAATCTAGAGGGTGATTCAAAATTTAGAGCTGTTTCACATTGAGGATTTATTGTACTTTCGGGTGTGTGTGAAAGTGTTACAAAGTCGTTATTTTTTGCTAAAATTACTTCAACGTGAAATGGCCGCTACATTTTTTTATAACCCTGTGACTCAAATCGTACTATAATTTTGTTAAGTCTTTCCTAAGTGGAATGTTTTAAATATAAAGCAAGTACAGTGCGATTCAAAAAAGGGATATGTAGTTGGAAATAGTGATTATGGTTTTGTGATTATAGTCTTCCAATCTAGTCAGGCTCGTCAAAGTTTTCGTCTGAAAATCATAAATAACGATAATTATTAAAATGGATAATGAGTCACATTAATATATTAAGAGTTTAATGTCTTCCATTTATGGATAAGACAATTGTGAAGAAGCTAACGTTGACGTATTAAAATGATGTGGTTGCCACTTTCGACAAAACTGGAGAATTTAATCTGAATCTGAAAATATGCCATATTTATATTTTTGAAGTGGAATATTTTGGATAGTTTAGCAAATTTAGGTCCAGACAGAAAGATGTTTTTTAATTTTTGTTAGATAAATTCATATGTATTTTTTATTTACAAGGTTGTACGCCAAAAATGTGACAGTTCACTTCATTGTTATTTTAACGTTGTGCAAATGTTAAAAGTTGATATCAGCGTGACAATTAATCATAACCTCAAAATATGCTGACAGCATGCTATGACATTCGCAAGAAAATTAGTACGTAGTCAACTGTAGTTCTCCTTTTTCTTCGTGGTACATAAAACGCTTACTTTGTAAGATAGAAGTAATTTCACCACGAAAGGGTACAGGGGCGGGGCTTAAGTTGCGCGACTTGTAGTCGGGCTAGCAGTGGCGTAACTGGATGCATTGAGAAGGGAGGCTCGGCTGAGTTATACTTCTTTCAAAAAACAATTAAAAAAAGAGCAATTTCTACAAAAGAATACAGACAACCATTTAATAGAAATAAATTAATTTGTTTGATAAAAAAATAGACTTACTTAACAATAAATTATTATAATCCATCACACAAAATTTGGTATTTTTAATTATTAAACGAGTTTATAATGTGAGGGATTATAGCATAAGTAAAAAAATTCACGAACCCCTCATTATAAACCAGTATCATACACTATTTTATAGTCGACTAGTGTTAAATCAATAGTTAAATCTTTAAATAAAAGCGGAGATAAAACTCTTAGAATTAGCAACATATGACTATAATTAGATGGTTTTTAATTTTCTGGCACAATTTGTCCATACCGTAAAGTCGGATTAGAATAAGGCTTAACGTTTTCTGTCTTTAACCTCGAAGTAATAATCACAGTTCATATTCTAGCATAATTGTCGTTTATAACTAAAGCTTCAACTGTACCGTAATTTAACAGTTATTATTGCTCACTAAAAATTACCTTTTTACTTATTTTATTTACTTTTTTATTCAACTCATACATCAAATACAGCACTAACAATTGTTTAAATTCATTTTCTATAATATCAACGCTAATAAAATAGGAAAGTGATATTTTTATTAACCACAATAATATTTTAATATTTCAAAATCGAAATATTCATCGCCGCTGCCACTGCTTTCACGATATTTGTAAGGCCAAACCAAAGCAATGTTCTGCGCACTCCCACCAGCTGTACCCTTTCGTGTTGAAAGCCACTCTACGTAGTCAACTGTAGTTCTCCTTTTTCTTCGTGGTACACAATTTGCAGTCAATTAACACTTTGAGATCCGAATGTTTCAGTCATTCTATATATTTGAGCTGTTTTATTCAGTATCTAAATTAAGAAACTTTTTTAATCGCACTGTATCGTCCAGTTCTGGTAAAATATGTAAATGAGAGTCGGTCAGAGGTGATCTCTTCGTTATCAACCTGTTGTCAATTTGTTAAAACACGAGAAGGCCCTCCGAGTTATACAACATTGTAAATATTTAGAAGTATAAGAGATTCATTTGCCATCAGTATTAGAGTAAGTGGGTATTTTCTCGTGTGTTCATTTGCCCGTTGTATATTTTTTAAATTGACAATTTTCATTTTGTGTTGAAGAGTGGTATTAAGTTATCATATTTGATCATAATTGAGATACCTTTTTTTACATTACTCTCCTCTCTTCTAGTATAAAATATTTGTAGGCAATTTACTAATGAACAAGTTTGTTTACATACATGATTATTAATTAATATGTAAAGAGTAGGTACAATTATATATAGGTAATCACAATCACATGAAATATTTATGAAAAAGTTTATTTTGTGTTGTGCATATCATAGTACAAAATAAACTGCTCGAGAAAATGTTAAAGTATGTGATTATTTTCAACCCGTTCCGTTGCATATTTTAATATTTCCTTTAGTGGTTCAATATAACATATGAAATATACAAAATAGATTATTTATAATAAACTGATTTTTATTACTTTCTACCAATGTGCTTGTCTCGAGTCAAAGCGAGGAATTTTCATCAGGATGTTTGAAGCCAGTTTACTTAAATAGACGCCATTTGACAGCAACTTTTGTCATTTTTACGGACCAGTGTAACCACGTCTAACCTACTTCCCGATTACTTCCTAATTTATAGCCTACCTGTTTTTTCTTCAAGCCCTTTTCCGTGAGTTTAGCCAATTTCGAAATATCGATATTCTCTTCAATGGTTTTTTAAATATTTGTTTTGAACTTTGCATTTTTAACTTAAACTTTCAACTTGACCTGTGATGTCCTCTCTTGAAGCCACGGTGGTTGTTGGTTAATAATACCACGACTTAGTACTAACTGATTTTACATATCACTTACAACTTTTACACATTATTGACGACCTACTAGTTCCTTGTAATGGACAAGCATTTGCTGACTAAAGAATTCAAGCTTACTCACTCCATTACAGGTAATCTCACAAAACGAAATTTCTATCGAAAACAAATCTTTGTTGGTCTCTCGGTACTACCGAATGAATTTTTGAAGATTTGTTTTCGATACAATTTTCGTCTTGTCAGATTAGTCAGTTTGAGAGATTGAGTTTAAAATTCAACGATTAAAAGTAAAATCTTCAAAAATCTATGGCTGCCTTTGATCGTGTACTTTATTGCTTTGGCGGTACAAGAAGAGATCTGAGGTACCAGTCGAGGACGATGTTTGGATCCTAGTGAGGGTTGGAAGTTTTGAGTTATGTAGAATGCCCAATTTAAGGTAACTGTTGAAATACTACACATACGTACATTAGAAGGGATGCATCTTGATGAACTATTTACCATGCCCAAAATCATGTGACGGGCCGTCAGTTCACGCGTAAAGTCACAACAACAAGACGAAAAACAAATCCCCAGGAGATACAAACAAAATTCGCAAATTTGCAAATCTTAATTACTTAACACGCATGTTCAAATCTGCACATAGTAGCATTCAAACAGAGAATCAGACTCAACCACCAATCCCCAAACGTAAGAACAACATTCGCATATTCGCAAATATCAAATATCATTGCGCTTGTCAAACATTGCGAACAACATGCGCAGAACTGTACATCCATAAACCGCCAATTGCAATGATTTTCATTAGAATTCGTACCCAAACTAAAACAGCAGCAGACGAAACCCATATAAATCTGTCAGAGACGAAATCCTATTTTAATCAAACTAAACCTTCTTATAAATCAGTAAAATAAGACCTAAAGTGGCGTTCTAGGCAAACCATAATTTAAGCATTTTTATTGCTTGCTAACGTCGCGAGAGACAAAATAAATGGTAAAAAATCCTAATAAAAGCAGTAGCGCAGAAAGCGATATTCGTTCATGTTTCAAGATACCTTGGGCCACGCTGTCCATCTGCTTCGCGATTTTTCCACTAATTTTGGCTGAATCTTGAAGAAATCCATACTTGGAAAAATTTGCTGAGACTGAGAAGAAGTTAGAAACATTTCCATGCTGCATTTGTTTGTACGTCTACCTTCAGACGCACTTAACTTATCTCGCTTTCGCTGCCCTAATTTATTCAACATATGTTTTTGTTCACATAAAATTTTGCTACCGACTACCTCCCTATGTTTGTAACCCATCGACTTGAGAATTTTGTACAAGTTTGTTCGCCCTCTTTTAAATTCCGTGTTTTCGCGAATCAACCAAAAATGTGTTTGTAGTAAAGTATTAGGGATGTACCGACTAGTGGCCGACCGGTCGGATAAGCCGACTATTCGGCCGTTTTTCATCGTCGGCTGCAGTCGGCGACTAGTCGGCTAAACAGCCGATCGGACGGCTTTTTTTATTAAAATTAAAATAGTATATAAAACAATTAAACCCGGTTTACAGAACCTCAATTAAATATTTAATTGCGATTTAATTTTTAACCCCAAGTTAAAGTATCATGTGACCGACTCTACGCCAATCAGACGTCGCTAATGGCCTTGTTAAATGCGCGATCAACTTAAACTCAGTTAAAATATTGTATAAACTGGCCCTAAATTGTGTTATTCTTTATTTTTGTACTGAGTTACTAAAAAAAATTAAATGTTAAAATTATCCAAACAAATTTAACACAATTTTTGGAAAACAAAGGAACTTTAGTTATTCCTTTTATTAAAATAGAACAAACCTTTAAGGCAGCCAGAGAAATAGAAAAAAAAACATACTGTTTGTCGCATTTATAAACCGGTTTTAGCAAAGCCGAACAGTCGGCCGACTAGTCGGTTTTTACTGGCCGAACAATCGGCTAGTCGGTTAGTCGGCCAGACCTACAGTCGGTACATCTCTATAAAGTATTAATGTTTTTCGTTTTATTGCCAAATTAGTCTTGCAGCTCTTTTCTAAGTACATAATTTGAATAAGAGTGAGTGAGGTTTCGCTTGCCAAAAGATAAAGTTTTCAAATTTTCATTGAAGTTGCGCGACTGACCTACAAACATTTTTTAATAAACAAATATTTAAAATTGTTTAATAAAGTCGCAGACAATACGTTTACTAATCTCATTATTAACTCTTCACTCTTGAGTCGGGGACTATTTTTTTTCATTTGCAGATAACACCATTTGATTGAAATTTTCGGTATTTTAAATTTTCATGGCAGAAATCATAAATGTTCTACCTTGATAATATGATTTCTAAATGACAATAAAAATGGCAAATCAGCCTCAAGTGAACGCCAGTCTCACGTACTGACAGATAAACCGTTTTGTCAATGAATCAGTTTATCCGACGTGAAGAAAAAATTTCATGGTTCACTTTTGTTTAAAAACATCCTCAAAGGTTTATACAATGTGGTACAAAGAAAACTCTTCTAGTAGACCATGAAATTTATTTTTAAAATAATAATGTCGACAATCCAACTGGTTGGTAGTTATTTGATTGCAACTGTCAAATTGAACAAGGAATGTGTTGCTAGGGCAATTTTTTAAAATTAAATTTCACTGACTGCTGGACGACTTTTTTCGATCATACGTAGAACACAATTTGTCAATTTGTATGCATGTTAATTATTGCAGACGCTACCAGATCAAACCGATTGTTACTTCATGACTGAACACAAAACCATGAATGGTGTTCTTGTGGCTAGCATTCCGTTTACGCATCGAGCTCATGTTTCTCAAATTTTGGTTATTTTAAGACAGCAAGCTCTCTTCAATACGATAATCAGTAGTTGCGAACGTCCAAGTAGCAAACGAGGTAATTGTGACTAACACCATCACTAAATTGTGTAGTACTCTATAGTGTGGTTTTTGATGTAAGTTACGTTTTTATAGATGAAGTGGTGTCTGTTGCGTACTTTTGTAAAAATTAAAACATGAAAAGCACTTCCGTGTTGATTATTATTTATTAAATAAAAATTTGGGAATTTAAAGATATTGTTCTGTAAACGCTGTGTATGAGGTATATTTAGTTTTATTTTTTCCATAAGATACAAGAAAATTTTAAATTTTTCTTAAAAAATACAAAACCGACTGTTTAAGACGTAGTAAGTTGCTAATAAAATTTTTTTATTTTAACGGAAATTGTTATAGTAACTATACTCCTTAGAAACTAGTTGTTTTAAGATAAATTTAGCAGCACTATACTAGTGTTGTAATGTAATAGTATATTAAAGAACGAGTTTCATAAGGCAAATATTGAGGCACGAATCCAAGTTTATAGAACGAGCGGCGTAGTCGCGAGTTATATCAAGGTTGAGTGCCTCAATGGCCTTATGAACGAGTTATTTATACTATTTTTTCTACCGCACACGTTTTTTCCCAAAATTTAATTGAAATTTGCATTTTTTTTAATCTGGGGACTTTTGTCGTGGTTGGTGATGGGTCGGTCTGACACTAACCACGCAATATTTGAGGTTCGAATTTTCACAACAACAATTGTAATTCGAACCAATTCGAGTTTTTGTAATTTAAAATTGGTTAAAATGTCTTGGGAAGAAGTTACGCGTCCGGAAACATGGGAAATTTTAAGTTTTAGATTTGCCACTGACATTCACCTGACATTTCTCGTCATTGCTACCAATCTTACCGATCTAAATTACACCAGATCTATTAAAGAACGCCTTTCCGCTGTTAACGAACTGCTGTGACGTCATTTGCGTGCGTTAATAGCTCTATTAGAAAACCAAAAAACGTGGGCGGTAGAAAAAATTATAATATTACAAATTTCTATGTTCAACCAACTTTACATTTTACCACTATAAATGAACTAGAGAACTCGTGAAAAATATAATAAATTCTTTGCAAAAAAAAAACCTCCATTTCTTGGCGAACTGTCCACATTTGTTGCCACTGATGACGTTTCCATTGAGTTCTTATTGAAATTAAAATTTATGGTGCAATTTGGTAGGTTTTCAAGTTCAAGTCCTGATGCTAAAGGATTTAATACGGCGTTTGCAGCATATTTAGTAGTGGCTGATGAAGATTAGAGAGTATTTTTTCTGAAGAGGGTCATGAAATAAAATTTGTTAAACAAAACGACGCACAGAACAGATTTCCATTATCTGTTAACAAATACTATTTTTCGAATAACACATCAATCTATTTTTGTATCATAAATTTAACAGTTACAAAAGTTACTACTTTATCAAAAAGTAAACACTTAAAAATAATATTCTTAATTTAATAGTAGTAGTAATAACAATAATAATAAAGTTATTAACAATCGTAGACAGTGTATGAAGAACAAAATGTCAACATTTTATTTTTTATACGGCATAATGAACATAATTACTACTTAAATTTCATTGTACACATAATAATTACAACAATAAAAAAACAACTAAAAGAATAGTCTTTCACAAATATGTAATTTAAAAAATAGGATTAAGAATTGTTATAAAACTGAAACCTTTTTTATACAACTTAACTTTTGGAAACAATGGACTTTTGGAATTGATAAATTTATACCTACTCTAAAAAAAAATATATATATACCGAGTTTAACGCAAAAATATAATCACCAAAAATGATGTATTTAAGGAAAATTTGTTTAAAAAAATCCGGACTGACCTTTGAAATGAATAAGTTTTTAATAGATGTTTCTGACAGACTCGGCAGAACTATTACACTGTTTTTTGCATGAATACTTTATTGGTATATAATAATAATAATATTAATAATAATAATAATAATAATAGTAATCTTTATTTGTCCAACAGTAACCTATTATAGGACAAACATATAACAAAATATAACATCTATTTAAACAAACAAGTCATCATATATAACATCAGCAGCTTTACACATAATAAATATCGGTGCTCTGCGCAGTACATTTGTACGTGGAGTTGGTAAGCGGAAATTGGATGCCGATCGTGACGTAAGACGAGGAACATTGAAAGGTACCTTGCTCAAAAGAAATTCGCAGCCAATTTGATAATGCACTAGTTTAGACAAAAATAATGCAGCACGTTGAGTTCTTCTTTCTCCTAATGACGGCAAATGATGACGTTCAAGCAGTTCAACTGAACTAGTTCCTCTTTCTGGATAAGCCCCATCGATTCTGTACGATAAGTACTTCAAGAAACGACGATAAATTTTGTCTAACATGAGTGCGTGAGATGCATATATGGGGCTCCATACTAGTATGCCATATTCCATTTTACTTAAAACATAGGAATAAAAGAGCTTGTGGGAAAGCAGAGAAAAATGTTGTGCCTCGGTGGGATTCGAACCCACGTCTCCAAGCAATCCGGGCTGGTATGCTAACCGCTACACCACAAGACAACTTATCTTTACTCTGCTTTACCCGCGTGTTATTGTGCCGCCACAGTACTCCCCCCCCCAGCGACACAGCGCGCGGTCGTGCTGGGGTGCGAAGGAGATAGTTGCTGGCGTCGCTCCTGCCACTCTTACGTTCGTCGTTCGAACCCTGGCGGTGCTGCGGACCCCGAACACAGCGGGCACAGGGCGGTGGCAGAAGGATGTTGCGTGCGCGTTGCCTGTCGGTGGTCACCAATGTGGGAAAGCAGAGAAAAATGTTGTGCCTCGGTGGGATTCGAACCCACGTCTCCAAGCAATCCGGGCTGGTATGCTAACCGCTACACCACAAGACAACTTATCTTTACTCTGCTTTACCCGCGTGTTATTGTGCCGCCACAAGCTGCTTCATTAAGTTTAAGTCACTAAAGTTGCGACAAGTGCGCATGACAAACCCCAAGGACTTAGACGCAGAAGAGCAAACACAATTAAGGTGCTCAACAAATGTCAACGTTGAATCAAAAACAACACCAAGATCTTTCATACAATCCTTCTTATCAAGGAGATAACCGTCAATCATATACTGCGTCGGTAAAGGAGAATGAGTTCTGGTGAAAGTAACGAAAAAGCATTTTTGCTTATTAAGAATGAGTTTATGGGTCATACACCATTGTGTCAATACGTTTAAGTTACTTTGCAATAAAAGAACTTCGTTGTAAGAATTGATTGACATATATAATTTAATGTCATCAGCATAAGCTAAGACTGGACAAGATAGTGAAAGCAGCAAGTCATTTATGAATAAAACAAATAATAATGGACCGAGATGGGATCCTTGGGGAACCCCTGATGTAGCAATAAATTCTCTAGAAGTAAAACCATTGTAGTAAACATAACAAACTCTGCTACTTAAATAAGACTCAATTAAAGCTAAAGCATCGGTGTTCAAACCAAAGTTATTAAGCTTCTGTATTAGAATGTTATGTTGAATCTTATCAAAAGCTTTCGATAAGTCGGTATAAATTACATCCACTCTTCCACGGTTATCAACCTCCTCGGCTAGATATTGTGCAATGGTTGAAAGATTGGTGTCAGTTGATCTTCCAGAGACAAATCCATGTTGGTAAGGCGAAATGTAACTCTTCACTTTATTGTAAATCACCTGATAAAGAAACTTTTCGAAAACTTTTCCAAAATTGGACAAAATACATACTGGTCTATAATTTGGAATGCATGATTTATCACCATTTTTGAACACAGGAGAAATACGGGCACGTTTCCAGAGACTCGGAAAAGTACAAGTTTTTATAGAAAGATTAAATAAAATAGATAGCGGTTTAGCAAAAACCAACCTGCAATCACGTATAAGGAACGAAGGTATATTTAAATAGCACTCAATTATAGACATCATTAAATATGAAGCATGACAATGGTCTGTGTTAAATAATTTTTCGCCAAAAATAATTTTAAGACATGAATGACACGATGTTTATTAATTTTAGTATTTTCGTTTTCGCGAGATCTAAATTTTCGTTCCGTTTTTACGCACAACGAATTAACCAATCACTGGGATACAAAACTACCGATTAAATCTTTTTTTGTTCCAAACAAAAACGATATATGTACAAGCTTTAAATTTTAATACCTTACCTAACTTCATGAAGCTTCATATAATTTCAAACTTTTGCTCGATTAATCCTATGTAGAATGTACAATATACCGATTTTCATTCCACCAATGAGCCCATACTTTTTAGAATTAACAAATAGTTAATGATTTCGCTAATTTCAGTGGTTGATTTTTTTTTTTTTGACATTATCGGGAAATTATTATTTCGATTATTCAGTTTTTGCTTAGAAAAGGCGGCAAGTGTAGACTCCGACATTCACTATGAGTCCTTTAGTGCTAAATTTTTTTTGAGGATGTGTAGTTTATGAAAAAAGTGTTGGGATGGTAACAAATTTACTAGAGAAGTTTACATATTTTGTTCGTATTGCAATTAGAAACATTCAAAATCTTCCAAAATCTGTTCGACGTGGTCCTTTGTCTGTTGAATAGGCAGTAATTAGAACTGTTAACAAAAGGGTGCAACTTACCTTATTAGGAGAAAGTTGGCCAGTAATTCTAATCAAATTGACTACTCTTTCGTTAAAACGGAGAAGTACGTTTTCGTTTATTGGACGTTTAACTATTTCCAAATGTTCAATGTTGTTAACAGTTTCTATACTAGATATGGATTTGTAAAATTGCAGCCTAACCGTTATCTGTGAAATCATGTATGGCTGATCTAAAACGAAAATGTTATTTTTTTATATATAAATAATTAGCAAACTTACTTAGATACAGATACGTACTAAATGAATCAGACGTCCCCCTGTGTTGATAAATAAAAAAAAGTTTAAAAACCGTTTCTGTCTACAACATCGGGATAAATTTAACCTATCCCACTCAAATGAGTGATTGTTGTACAATTATTTCAAACACAAATATATTTTT